GGTGAAAAAGAAAACTCTAGAGAGAAGCAATAGGAATACAAACTGGAACTCGTTTAAAATTTCACGCTGTCAAATCCCATTGTGGAAAATGATGACTTTCTAATATGTAATAACCATATATATTTATATTTAATTTTAACTCGACATTGAGTTGAAAAAGTTAGTGGTTCATAGTTTAATTATTAATTCTCTAGACTGTTGGTGAGTCGTGTATGGACCTGTTCATACTTGTGATTGAATACATAAAAAGTGATACTAATTAGGGTTAGACGAAGAAGACAAAGAAAGAAATAAATAAAGGTTTATGGAAGGAGAGTGAAAAATGAAACGAAGAGTAAGTAGATATTGGAAAGGTTTTGACCAATTCTTTTAGTTGGCCGTCAATAAAACAGTCAACCATTTTCACCGTAGCAATTTATTGACACTTGCTTATGTAGATGTCACATATTTTTTAGTGAATAGTAAACCTACTTCATGTTTTATGTTATGGTGGATTAGATTCATGGATTGGTTTAAAAGGATTAGTGAATTGGATTCATGGATTCAAGTGAAATCTAAACATTGGACCAATATGAAAATTTTAAAAAATTGTAGGTAAGAAAATCTCATAAAATTTAGATACCAAAACATAATTGTTCAATGATATTTTACATTGAAAATTAAATTTGGGGTATCAAAATGTAAAATGTACATAATAGTGACTAAGTTGTAATTTTTTTTAGTGAACAGTAAACCTACTTCAGGTTTATACATATTAATTGGTATCAAAATGTAAAATGTACATAATAGTAACTAAGTTGTAATTTTTTTTAGTGAACAGTAAACCTACTTCATGTTTTATGTTATGGTGGATTAGATTTATGGATTGATTTAAAAGGATTAGTGAATTGGATTCATGGATTCAAGTGGAATCTAAACATTGGACCAATATGTACATTTTAAAAAATTGTAGGTAAGAAAATCTCATAAAATTTAGATACCAAAACATAATTGTTCAATGATATTTTACATTAAAAATTAAATTTGGGATATCAAAATGTAAAATGTACATAATAGTGACTAAGTTGTAATTTTTTTAGTGAACAGTAAACCTACTTCAGGTTTATATATATTAATTGGTATCAAAATGTAAAATATACATAATAGTAACTAAGTTGTAATTTTTTTAGTGAACAGTAAACCTACTTCAGGTTGATATATATTAACTAGGTGGTGATGTCGCATCTTGTCGGGGGCGCAGATATATAACGGTAAATTAAGCATGTAGTATGTAGCCCGTTATGGTGTTTTGTTAGTATTATTAGACAAAAATTAATTTTTTGTTAGCAGTTTTGTTAGTATTATTGACTTGACAATATGATATTGACTGAGAAGAGATATATAACGGTAAAATCCGATTTAAAAAAATTTGACTAATAAATGATATTCACCTAAACCCAAGTAGACCCATTGATTATGGGTAGGGTACGTATGGGTGACGTATATATGAGTTTGGAAGTTTGTTGATGGGTTTGGGTAGGGTATGGATATTTATTTTCATAATCTAAATGTGTATGGGTTGGGTATGGATACCCGTTTATTCGAGTGCATTTTAATTACACACAAAAATTAGACCTATTTGTAGAACTTCAAAAGTTTAGATACCAAAATGTAATGCAAAAAAATTTGAGGTACTAAAATGTAATGTTCCATGTTTTTTTAGGTCTTATATGCCAAAATAATAAATTTATGTTGTAAATCTAAAGATCTATCAAGTTTAGGTGTCAAATTGTAATTTGCATAGTTGAGGCTTAATTCCTTTTATTGCGATGCATTTAAGATGATAATTATTTACTTTTTTGTAGAAAATAGGAAACTATTTATTTGATATGTGTAGATACCTAGCTAAACATTCCATGTATAATAGTTGAAAATTTCAGTCAAAGAAAAACTTCAGAGAGAAACAAAAGGAATACAAGCTGGAGCTCGTTTAAAATTTTACGCCTTCGAATCTCATAGTGGAAAATGACGACTTTCTAATAAGTAATAACCATATATAATTATTCTTGATTGGACTCGACAGTACAGTGAGCTAAAAAAGTTAGTGCTTCATGGTTCGATTATTAATTCTCTAAATTGTTCGTGAGTCGTGTATGGACTCGTTCATGCTTGTGATCAGAATACATAAAAACTATATACTAATTACGGTTATGGAAGGCGAGTGAAAAATGAAACAAAGAGGAAGTAGATGATGGATAGGTTTTGACCAACTATTTTAGTTGGTCTTCAATACAACAGTCAACCCTTTTCAGTTTTCACCGTAGCAATTAATGACACTTGCTTATGTAGATGTCACATATTTTGTTATATGTAGTTAGTAGAAGTTTGTTTAGTACCCCGTAAATAACTAAATGAGTTTATAAATTCGCTTTTGCAATATTTTAGAACTGTCTCTCTTTTATCATTTATATAATGCTTCACGTTATGAGCAATCTCCGACAGTTGAATGATAAAACATCTTGTATGGTACAAACTAAATTTATACTTTTATGTTATGGTGGATTGGATTCATGAATTGGTTTAAAAGGATTGGTGGATCCAGATTCATGGATTCAAGCGAAATCTAAACATTGTACCAATATGTAAATTTAAAAATTTGTAGGTATGAAAATCTCATAAAACTTAACTACCAAAACATGTTTGTCCAATGATTTTACACTAAAATTAAATTTGGGGTATCAAAATGTAAAATGTACAAGTAACTAAGTTGTAATTTAATAAAATTTGAGGTATGAAAGTAGTATATTTTTAGGCAACAGTAACATTTTATATAATATAATATATAGAGAGAGAGAACAAAACCATTTGGCCCGGCTCGATCTCCTATTGCTAATTCTATTATTGACAACTTGGAGTCTAAATTGGTTCATTTGTTGTACCATAATATTATTGGAATCTCAGGCTCGAGTAATTGATAACATGAGTTAGAGCATCCCATTAAGTAATTGCCAATGTTGGGTAGTTTCATTCTCAATTTCATTTGATTTTGTTATATCAGTGCCTACTTTTAGTCACAGTTATTATAATTCTTGCAGCCTAACCTTCTATATAAACCATAACATATTCCAAATTCCGTGTTTTACCAAGGCACACAAAATTTTTGGCTTCCAAATTAATGCATTACATGGTGATAGTATAAATAGATGAAGCATCCATGCTTAGAGAACACACATTCCCTACTTAAATCCGTATATTGAATGAAGAAAGTAACATTTTGACAGATTAACTGAGCGTTACTTGACATTTAATGCAGTAAGACTTGTTAGCTTCAACTTGAATCGTGAAGAGATAGTTCATACAACTATCATAACACCACTCACCCAGCACTTGATTAACTTTATAAGGCAACAAAGAACAATTCACATCATGAAAAAAAACTTAGGAGTCGTTTGAGAGTTGAGACTTTAGATAATGTATTCAGACAATATATATTAATATGTAATCATGAGAATTCATTGTTTTTTTTTTTGTCTTAAAATGAACAATATGCATGTATTTGAGTAGAAGATAGGACCACCAGAATCATTCATTATTCGATGATTGTCAATCTCATCTTTTAATTGAGATTGTCAATCTCTCATTTTTCTTCCTCAATTTTTGAGGGGCCACCAAAATCATTCAACCTACAAACAATGTATTTTACAAATTCATATGTTGACACAATACATCTAATTAGAATACACAAATTAATTAAATGCATCAATCTGCGAGTCGTTTGCTTCATGGATTTGAAAAAGGAAAGTTTTGATAAAAGTTGGGTTTTGTAAAACCATGGATATATGAAGGTTTTGGATTCATTATGACTTGTAAAATACCATTGTTTATTTCATTGATTTCATGATGGATTTAGTTAATTAGATATGCATGCATGAAGTGAAAATGACATATATTGCACTTATTGGTATGAGATGAGAAAGATAAAATGAGGGGTAGTTTGGTCATAAATGATGGACTTTAAAGTCCATGATCAAGTCTCAGCTATAGAGGTAGAATTTTCAAGTCTGTGGGACCCACGGATTTGGACCCTTAAAGTCCATGGGGTCCACGGATTTGTTGCCACAAAATGCATGAAGTAAATAATAGAGTTTACACAAAGTCCATGATAGATCCAAATCCATCACCAAATCCATAGAGAATCTTGTTGTGAAAAATAATAGGTGAGTTTAGAAATGTTCTCTTGTTGTGAAACTTGGTTACAAACATTGAGTTTTAGAAGAGCAAATCCAATTCAACTCAATGTATACTCACGTATATATGTATGAGTTTCCATGGATTCATGAACATAACAACACATTTTTTAGAAAATTCAGATTGTAGTATTATCAAAATTTCCCAACAAATATATTTTCATAAAGATAATAACATCCATAAGTTATCAATATTATTAGGTTTGTACTGCAACAAAGACTAATAGCATCTATAGATAATCCATATTGTTCATATTATATACAAAATAATGTTATTTTGCGGGTAAAATACCTTGGGTACCACTTAAGTTTGAGAATTGGGATAGATATACCACTAAAGTTTGAATATGGCGTCAGGTACCATTAAAGTTGCCAAAATGTGCATCCGTCTACTTTTCCATCCAACCCAAACTTTTAATTACTTTTTGATACCCAAAACTTTTAAAAACATCCAAAACTATATTTCAACAAGTTTTATCTAATATAATAATTAGAAAACCTTCTAAATATATTATTACTATAATGACTAATCAAATTTTTTCAATAAAATAGATAAATTAGTAAAAATAATAAACGAAGATCAAGAAGAATAATAAATATACTAGAATATAATAATAAATATTTAAAATAAATATTAGAATATCTATTTAAACCCCCCTGATTCAAAAAGAGCTAGGTTATGTGAGTGGCGACAGCTGGCCGACTGATACTTCACGTGGAGGTAGGGTAGGGGGACTATGTGTGTGGTGTAATGAGGAGATTGATCTGACAGTCATGTACTCTTCTAGTCATTGCATAGACATGAAGATTGGAGGAGCAGATGGGGAGTTCTGGAGGTTCACTGGCATTTATGGCTGGCCTGGATCAGGACAAAAGGAAAGGATGTGGGATATTGTCCGCGAACTTGCTACGCAATGGAATGGACCGTGGCTATGTGGGGGTGACTTTGATGAGATCCTGTCGTGGGAAGAAAAAAGAGGTGGTCCTGTGAGGGAGGAAAAAGAAATGGCAGCTTTTCATGAGTGCTTGGTAGAGACGAACCTTAGTGACTTGGGATTCCACGGGTATCAATATACCTGGAGAATCGTAGGCGCAATTAAGGTTATGTTGAGGAGCGGCTCGATAGGTTCGTTGCAACGGACCATTGGACCACTAGTTTTTCGAAGAATAAAGTACGACGCATGGACAAAACGAGGTCGGATCATAGACCGATTATTTGTGACACGGAGGGGGATGATGATGAGGAACCGGGGTGGGGTTGAAGTTTTAAATATGACCCGTTTTGGTCTAACCACGAAGAAAGTGAGAAGCTAGTGAAGGAGGCTTGGGGTGATGGGGGAGCAGTGAGTGCTATGGAAAAAATAAGCAATTGCGGAGCAAGATTGGAGGAGTGGAGCTCGTCAACTTTTTCCAACTTTGCGAGGTAGAAGGCAAAAATCAAGAGAGCACTAAAAAGGATGGAGATATCGCCACATTCTCCCATTGTACAGGAACAAAGGTGGAAGCTTGAGGAGGAATTGGCGGTGCTCAAGGATGACGAGGAAAGTTACTGGAAACAACGATCACGGGCTGACTGGCTAAAGGATGGCGATAAGAACACCCCTTTTTTTCATAAGAAGGCTTCAAGGAGGAAACAAAATACAATCCAAAAGATTTCTGACTCGGCTGGAAAATGGTATGTGGGAACCGAGCAACTCTTTGATTGCTTTACTACTTACTTTGGAGGACTTTTTATGGCAGGGGATGTGCCCACAGTGGAGCCGGTCATGGAGTCAATCCAATGCTCGGTCAACCAAAGTGACAATGATATGCTCTTGAGAGAGGTGGGGAAGGAAGAAGTTTTTCAAGCTCTTAAACAAATGGGGGGTAGGAAGGCGCTTGGCGCGGACGGTCTATCGGTGGCGTTCTACAGATCGTACTGGTCGATTGTAGGTGATGATGTGTGTTTGGCGGTCAAAGGTATTATAGAGAATGGAGTGATGCCACCAGGATTGAATCACACACTTATCGCTTTGATCCCGAAGATAAAACTACCCCAGGGTCCAAAAGACTTTCATCCGATAAGCTTGTGCAATGTACTGTATAAGTTGGTGGCGAAAGTTTTAGCTAACAAGCTGAAACTGGTGCTGAATAAGGTAATTTCTCAGGAGCAGAGTGCTTTCGTTCCCGGGAGATTTATTACGGATAATGTTATGGCGGCTTTCGAATGCTTTCATACAATGAAGAAAAAAGGGAAGAAGGGAACGAGATTCTTAGCTGCGAAGAAAGACATGGCCAAGGCATATGATCGTGTGGAGTGGCGGTTCCTGGAGGGGGTGATGAGACGAATGGGATTCGATGATATATGGGTGAAGGTGGTAATGATGTGTGTAAGATCCGTGACGTTCTCGGTATTGGTGAACTGTCATCAATCACCATGTTTTAAGCCTAGCCGCGGCCTCCGTCAAGGGGACCCGTTGTCCCCGTATTTGTTCCTCCTATATGTTGAGGGCTTATCCACTTACACGATGAAGGCAGCTCGAGAGAGACGAATCCATGGGGTTCAGCCGGCAAGAGGTGCACTGGTGGTTACTCACCTGTTTTTTGCCGATGACTGCATTTTCTTTACCAGGTCCACTGTGGAATAAAGTAAGGAGCTGAAGTAGATCCTCAGTGACTATGAAAAGGAATCCAGACAGATGGTGAGTTTTGAAAAGTCGGAAGCGTCGTTCAGCTCTAATGTACGGCCTCACAAAAGACTGGAGATTGGTGGAGTTCTGGGCACGCAGTTAGTTGAGAAGCTGTTTACCCATAAAAAATCAGCTTGTACCACATCGATTAACTACAAGAAATTCAATGAATTTATAAGGCCAGCTCAAACATTAATAATTAAAAAGAGCAAGATGGGCCTTGTTGGGTTGGATTTTTGGGCCTAAGTGGCCAAGCCCTTTCTTCCCTACATGATGGCCAGCCCGTCTCCTTGGCCCCATAGCCTACGATGTGTTTCACCCCTTGGTAGGAAATTTGGCCTCCAAAAAACCAAAGCCTTGGAAACAAGGCGACACAACGGGGTGCCAAACGGCCGGGTACCAAGCCGGGTACCAAAGCCTCGGATACCAAGGCGACACAACGGGGTGCCAAACGGCCGGTACCAAGCCGTTATCAAAGCCTTGGAAACAAGGCGACACAACGGGGTGCCAAACGGCCGGGTACCAAGCCGGGTATCAAAGCCTTGGAAACAAGGTGACACAACGGGGTGCCAAACGACCGGGTACAAGTCTGTTACCGAATAAGGGGGCAAACAAGAGGGTATCAAGCCGACAAGACAAGCCTGAGGGGGTACCCGTCGGGCAAGGCGACCTCAGTACCAAGACTCCTACAAGGTACCAAGCCGGCATGACAGGCTTGGTGGCCAGGCAACAGGGGGCCAAGCTAGGTACCAACTAACAGAGTCGTACAGAAACTAAGTCTGCATATCAAGCCCTGGCTTGGTAGCAACCAACAAGTTAAGGAGGAGGACTTGGTGTCATGAGATGGTAGTCGTCTCAAGACCACAAGAGTGGGGAGTCATCAAGCAGCCGAGGGGCAATCAAGACTTCATCATGGAGGCTAAGGCAAATAACCTCAACCCCATCCAGTTATGACAGGGTGACAAGGCTCAACACCAACTCGACCCGGCATTGAGGCCATCAAGTACCCACCAACCCCAAGACGGGACAAGGGCCTCCAAGGCGATGGATACCAACCAGTCAACAAGACGGGTCAAGGAGCTCCAAAGCAATGGAGGTGAAGACCAAGACAACGGTTACCAATTGGCAACCAAGGCAACGAAAAGGGGTCCATGAGGCGGTTGGAGCGGCAAGACAGATAGCAGTTACCAAGGCAGTTACTCCTAGTGGATATAAATAGAAGAAACGAAGAAGAGGCAAGGGTTCCACAACCAAACATTTGGCGCACAATGTCAAAATTTATCTTTTCTCTGCAAATCAGCTTTTAGTCTTTCGGAGCTCTCACTGAACCTCCATAGGAGTAGAATAACTTAGATTGTTTCCAAAAAACCATCAAAAACATCAAACACCCTCGTTCGAACATTGTTCGGAGAGGAGTGAACCGTGTTTAGATTCGTTGTTCAAGAGGTCAAAGGTGCATTTATTGAGTTCAAACACCAGTTTTTCCTCGCTGGAAAACAAATTGGCACACCCGGTGGGACCCTGTGTGTTTGATTCGATGGCTCCTAGGAGAAAGAATCAGGAAAGTGATGCTCCGCTAGGGTTTGTGGAGGAGCAAGTGGCCAACATTGAACATGGCCAGTTAGCTGAAGCGGTTTCCGGTGACAATGACGGCGGGGAAGCCTTGTCGCCGCCGGCACCAAGCTCAAACGTTGATGTAGTTGCTGCCATTGGGTCACTTCGCCAATTCATGGGGGAAGCTTTGGCCGGCAACACTCTTCAGGTAAATTCTCAACTTGATTGTCTTAACTCCTGTGTAGATAGGCGGTTAAGTCAACTTTTTGAAATTGTAACTAAAAATAGGAATGATTTTGATGAGTTTAGGAGAATTTTGACCACACCAGTGGTACAATCACGAGCTTTGCCAATTGATGGCACAAGTTCAACTCCAAACAATGCAAATTTTTCTCCCGTCGGTGGCCGGAATGGCCAACTACGACAGGATAACTTACCGCCGCCGGTGACAACCCAACCAACCCCTCACCACGTGAATCGCGGCGAGATTCCTGCCACCACTCAAGTGGAGGCTTCAGTTAACGTGGGAGGTGGAGAACTGCCTCCACGAGGCGAAAATTTTGCCACTACGTTCAACACCCATGTTGAACAACCGCCATCCATCCCGGTGGCGAGACCCTACATAGCTCCTCCTAACATGGGTGGGGGAGGAAGGTTAGGTGTTGGGGATCAAGTTCCCCCACGTGCTTACCCAGCACCCATACCACCCCAAGCCCATGGGCATGGTGTGGACCCCATGGGGTTCGTACCGCCAGGGGGGCAAGGGGGGCATGATGCTAACGCCCTGAGGGATCAGGTGGCTCAACTCCTTACCGACCAATTTGGATTAGGAGTAAGGCCCACCATGCCACCTGTGTACCGTAAGCCTTACCCTGAATGGGTAGATAGGCTATACCCATTCCCAAGAGGGTTTAGGATGCCCGAGTTTGCCACCTTCACGGGTACTGGTGACCAGTCCACTGTTGAACATGTGGGACGGTTTACTGTCCAATGTGGAGATGTGGAGACTTTGTCAAGCTGAGGCTTTTTGGCAACTCGTTGACAGGACCAGCTTTTGCATGGTATGTCAATTTGCCGTCTAACTCTGTCCAAACTTGGCAACAGATGGAACAAATTTTCCATGCCCAGTTCTATAGATCTGAGCCCGAGGTCTCAATGGCCGACTTGGCACGCATGCGCCAACAGCCAGGGGAGTCGGTCAAGCATTTTTTGACTAACTTCAAGAATGCTCGTAACCGTTGCTTTGTCAACTTGACAGAGAGGGAATTTGTCAAGCTTGCTCAAGGGGGCTTGAGCTTTGAGTTAAGGAAGAAATTCCAAGACAGAGAGTTCTCGGACTTGTTCCAACTCATGTCTTGTGCTGTGAGATATGAGTCTCTTCTCCAGGAAGAGGAGAATAGGAGGAGTGCATCAAGGGGGCAATACTTCCCCACAATCAACTACCCTGTTAACCATGTTGGCCAAGAGGCCAATGAGGTGGAGGTAGATCTAGCTGAATTAACCCCAGGGAAGCCATATGTATGTGCTTCTTTGGCTAAGGCTGAAAATGAGCCACAAGGGGGCAGACCCAATAGGGCCCCTATCCAGCCACGCAAGTACTCTTTTGACGTCTCGAACGCTGACTTGATTTTTTATCAACTCTATAAGGATGGTCAGATCAAGTTAACTGGGGGGGCATAACATACCACCACCCGAGAAATTAAAAGGAAAGAAGTATTGTAAGTGGCATAACAGCATGTCACATGCCACTGACTCATGTGTGATTTTCCGTAATATCTTGCAGGATGCTATTGAGAAGGGGCGTATCAAGTTCCCGGAGCCAAAGAAGGATGCCATGTTGGTGGATACTGACCCATTTCCCAACGTGGTAGGCATCAACATGGTTAATCCGGACCTCTCCAAAATTGAGTTGCCCCGTTTCAAGTTGGTGTTGGATACAACGCCGCCTCAACATGGGAGCTCCAATACAACTCATGAACAAGGGAGCTCGTCAGGTACAAAGCAGGCTAGCCCGGCCGCATTGATGACGGATGAAATTGAAAAGTTGTGTGCTCAGTGCAAGAAGAGTCTCAAACTTGAGGAGGCGAGGCC